TTGATATAGTAAATCTGTTACTATGTTATTTTTTGGTTAAATGATATCTCCAATTGATCTTTAATATACTATGCAGTCCGATGATAATGAGGATAAAATTTCTTGTCAGTCCTTGGGTCCTTATATTTTGACGCTCTTTTCTTGGTGTCTTGAAGGGGCGTGGTACTGTTGCCACTGGACGCGTCGAACAGGGAGTGATCAAACCAGGAGATGATGTGGAGATTTTGGGGCTTACACAGGTCAAAACTATCCTGATCTAGAAGTCAATTTCTTCCGACGTTGATTTTGTTTTATTTTTTGTCATCTTAGTTGTGGCTGGTATAACGTTAATGCTTCTAATTGGTGGACGATTACTGATCCTACCTATTAAACCTATACTATTATTGAGGCATCAAATTTATTCGGATTCAAGTTTCTACTGCTGGAATTCACCAAGACCACTTCCACTTGTTTACTTCCCGAGTCTAGTTCAGAATAGGAGGGCTTGAATATCAGCTTTTGAAACAAGAGAAAGAGTGGGCACTATAGACTTTAAACCTTCTTCATCTGCACCTAAGAGAAACTAAAAAATGGTCTTGTTCTTTTACATGAGGTCAAACCCATGTTCCTTAAAATATTCGTATATGAGGGGAAGTAGGAGAAGAGGGAACATGTAGGCAAAGAAGGTAACATAGAATTGTCAAGATCAGTTGGGCACAGGTAGGTGCTCCAGGTCAAGATGACATTCCTTAGTGTTCATCTTAAGGAGGAAATCGATCAATCATGATAAATAGTTGATGAGTTACATGGTATTTAGTATACTTGCTAGTTTACTTTCACGGATTGCTTAAGATGTTAATTTTCAATTTCTAAATTTGAGTGTATATGTAAAACAAGTTGGACATCACAAGTTTTTGTTCGTACAATTGATTGGTCCGCTAGTTTTTCATGTATTCGATTATCGCTGTGATGAGGTTGGATGAGGTCATCCTCAGTCTTGATTTAGGTTCTTGATGCCCTGAGCCAGCTTTACCTATCACTTCCCTCCTCTTGGATTCAAACTCGTTATTTCTTAATTATTCTTTTTAAATCCTACTTTATGCCCGAATTTTATTTTTTATATGATTAATTTTTTTCTCTTTAATGCCAAAGTTCGTCTATTATGCTACTGACTTGATTGCCCTATAGATTCCTAGAAAAACTACGGTGACTGGTGTTGAGATGTTCAAGAAGATTTTGGATTATGGGCAGGTAAAGGGATCAGTTATTAGTTACTTTACCTGAATTTCTCTGTGGCACTTATTACAAATCTTATCTTTTCCTAGGCTGGCGACAATGTGGGTCTTCTTCTCCGTGGCACGAAACGTGAGGATATCCAACGAGGAATGGTCAGTGCCACTGATTGTTTTCTATAACACAGTATTAGTGTTCTATGCTGTAATTTACCTGGACGTGACACTGAATTCTGCTTCTAGACTTCAACTTTTCAAGGACTGATTGTGTGGAAATTCAGTGAGCACGCATTTCCACTTTAGCTATTATTGAGATGCTAAGGAGTGGGTATAATATACAAGTGATCTGGTCTGTTTTTACATGAATTTTAGAAGTGCTGCTGGTCCAGCCTTTGGAATTACATGATAAAAGTGAAATCATCAGGGCAATGAACCATTTCCGTTGATCTTTGTTGTTGCAGGTGATTGCAAAGCCTGGCACCATTAAAACATACACAAAGTTTGAAGCAGAGATATATGTGCTCACAAAAGAGGAAGGTGGTCGCCATACAGCCTTCTTCTCAAATTACAGACCACAATTCTACATGAGGACAGCTGATGTCACTGGTAAAGTCGAGTTGCCCGAAAATGTTAAGATGGTTATGCCTGGGGATAATGTGACAGCTACCTTTGAGCTGATATACCCGGTTCCACTAGAAGCAGGTGTGTATCCTAATTTTTATAAGCCATGGAAAAGATGTTGCTTTGTATGCACATTGACGTTCTGTTCCAGTTTTTATTTCAACGACCATAAAGTTTATGCACTCATTGATCCTGTTTATTGGATCATTTTCTTTTCTGAAAGTGTGATGGGGTGTTTTTGGAATACCTAGTCATTGTGATTATTTTCTGCTTTATACGTGCCGAAGAATCATGTGTTTTATGAGTTCTTAGTGCTTGAGTAGAAAAGCCATCAATTGTTTTGAATAATGTTATTGTGATATCTTCACTGAAAGGCACCTAAGGTCATTTTCTTATAATATGTCAGTTACCCTATTTTTTCTGTTCCTCATCCAATACATTTTGTTTCTTTTATTTTGGCTTTGGTCTTGTGTCTTTCCTAGCACCTTTCAATCCTGATATTTGCTTCTTACTAGTCCTTTTTTAAGAAGAGAATCATGAAAAAACTTTCTTGTGCTTAGAGAAAGGTCTCTTTTGGCAATTCTAATTTTCAAGTGACATGAGAATTGTTCTCTTCTCTAAACATCAATTTAGCCCTTGTTTGATCTACATTATTATCTCATTTAAATGAAAAATATGATCGTTATTCATCACATCAACATTTAAATTCAAATTTTCAATATCTTATGTGGGCTCTAATAACGGCTATATTTTTCACTCTCATTCTCATTCTACAATAATTTGGTTCAAACAGGGCCTTAGGGTGTGTTTGATAGATATTATTTTGAAAGAATATATTTTGGAATAGTAGATTGATGGAGAATGTGTGGTTGAAAAAGAAGGAAAAGTTATTGATGTGGTGGAAAATATTATTTTAATGAAGAATGTGTGGTTGAAAATGAGTAGAAGAATGAAAATGAAAATTTTAATGGGTACCAAACAGGGGCTCAGTTTGAAAATCTTAATTTTTGATTTATAGTGACATTCAAATTCCTAACAAAAATATGCTGCTAACCACAAGGAGACTGCTGTCTTTTCTTGTTACACAACTATAGTTGTTAAAGATAATCTCACTTACAAGATTCGATATCCACCTGCTTTTGAACTGTGGGTAGTATATTTTCCCCCAACAGAAAAAGTAAACCTTGCTTTATCCCCATTCATATTTTTTCAATTGGCATGTCAATTTTTGGTAATTTATTGTGCCCTTAAGTCAGCCTGTGTATTGTCTGGTGATTGGAAAATTCGCTGTATGGTTGTGTTCTGCAAACATGAACCATGCACATTATGTGTGCACGTCTACATAGTTGTGATTACAGATTTTCTTGCCACATCATGCACCCTATTTTGTTCCAAATCACGCACAAAAAGTTGAGTTCTTATCTATTGTATTGTCCTGTTCTACATAATCGAGCATACCCAACCGCTGTGTTGGTCTGCAATATAGGCCCCTGTTTGTCTCCCTTTAAAACAACTCTCTTTAATTCTCAATACTCATTTTCAGTCATACATTAACACAATAAAATATTTTGCATGTAAATCCAAAAATTTTCCAACTTTTTAATCACGTTCTCCAAAACTTCACTATTCATAACATCATTTTTTTCTCAATAATGGCCATCAAACAGCGGCTAGATGTCGTAGAAGACCTTACGATCAATCTCTTCTTATTTTCAGGACAAAGATTTGCACTGAGGGAAGGTGGCAGAACTGTTGGTGCCGGTGTTGTTTCAAAAGTCGTAAGTTGAGATGCAAAAACAAGGCTTTTAGGCTGTCTCCTTTCGACTAATTTTGTTCACCGGAAGAGGTTTAGAAATGAAGAAATATTTGTAACGTTATTTGCATGAAAAAGGTTTGTGTCCTAGAATGGTTGCATTAGCTTGTCCTGGGACTTTTTATTTAATGTCATTTTTCTCAAGGGTTGCTAATTAGTGAAATAAAAAACCACCACTTACATAAGCACAAAATTCCGAATTGGAGAACTTGTCAAGAAAAAAAAACTACCGTTTAGACAGGAGACTGCAAATTGTCGTGATGTCAAATCTGTATTATTTAAATTGTTAACGAAAATTCTATTTGTCGATATTGGTATATGCTTTAAGCACGATTTTGATAAGTATCATATGGTATATTTGACGACATTTTAGTATATGTTCCATTTATCCTAACAAGCAATGTGCACATTTCTTGAGCATCCCCCTCATTAGTAAGGTGAATTGCAGGTACATTATCTTGTACACTGTTTCTCGTGGCAATACAACGTTTAAAAAAAATAAACAATTTACCTTCCAATCGTTTTTAATAACCACATCAAATGTCAAGCTAGATGTCATCCCCCATTTTTTATTGTACATTTCTGAAATAAAGACTTGTGATAAATTTACTTGGTGAAGTGTTACTTGTGTAGTTTTGAAATAATTAAAAGAAAAAAAGCTAATATTCTGTAGGCATGTTGAAACTAACACGGTTTAACTTGCAGAAATCTAGTCTGTTCCCAGGAAACTATTGAAGCGCCGGCGAAACGACAGTGTATAACAATGTTATATATAGGTTAAGTATGTTGATGGACATTGAAGTTTTGAATAATTACGTCGATAGTCATTAAAGCTATTTTTTAATGGTAAAAATCATTTAAGTTTCTAATGGCTATGCCAATGATTACTTGACATTACCTTAAATCTTATGCGAGGCTACGAGCATTGACGTATCATATATGACGTTATCTATTATGTCAAGTCAATGAAAATCATTCTTAAGGGAGAAAAAAAGGAAAGAAAGTGAGTTTACCATAGGATTTCAGCCTAAAGTTTAATAATATTAAACCTACATTACCTTCTAAATGTAATAAAGAAAAATGATTTAGTAACACGTTGGCACTTAACGATGCCCCATAGGACTTAAATTACGGTAACAATTGAAAACTTAAGTCACTATTACCTATTACTCAAAATTGTAGTGATAATTGCTGTAATTAACCCTATATATCTAATTGCCACACTGACCTCTGCCCCAGTAAAATCCAAACTATCAACGAAAAAGAGCATGGCTTAAGTTCAAAGACACTCATATTTTACACTTGTGATTATTCTTTATCTACAAGGACCCTCAAACCAAAATTGCATTCTATTCTTAAATCATGCCAGCTTTCAGCATAGCAAATGCCAATAACGCGGCTGCTCCAAAATAAACGTCCTTCAAATTACGATCGAGATTGTCCATAATTTCCTCTTCCTTCATACCCAACTTGCCAGAATTCTTGCTAATAGAGGTCACTGTATACCTCAGTTTATTGACTGCCCACGACAGCCAAACTAATCCGAAGCCAACGCCAGTTGTCAGAACTTTAGAGGCACAGAAGGGTACCCGACCACAAGCAACTTTGCAGATGACGGATAAAAGAACCGCAATACCTGTCCCGGCAATACTTGCAGAAATTTGGGTCAGAAGCTGAGGTAGTTCAGGACCAGATTTCTTTAGTGAAAGGATTGCACTTCGTCCCTGCTGCTTCCTGTCGACCATTATTGACAGAAGGCTTTCACAAGCGTGGAGGTAGCTGTTAGAATAGAGATCCCTCTCTTTACTGGATTTTTTACTAGTCTTCTTCTTCTGCAAGGTTCTATCCTTGACTTTCTCGGGACTGCAACACAAGGTATCACACAAGATATGAGGGCAAGAGCAATTAAGTTTCTCGAATGGTACGAATATAAGAAGTAAGAAAGGTAGGAAGGGGGAATAATTGGAGCATGTTTGGCTAAGCTTTAAAAAGAAAAATTACTTTTCTGAGGAGTAAGCAAAGACTCGCTTTCTAAAAAAATAAAATTCAACTAACCGCCAAAAAAGTAACTTCTACAAAAGGTTAGCCAAATGTACCAAATTCCTGAGTATTTTGTGAATGCTGGAGGAGTTGCAGGAAGGATTGAAACAACTGACTACAATATTCAAATAAAACAAAACTTTAACCATACAAGAAAATAAGATACGGGGATTGAGTAATTCTTTTCCCTTTTGTCTGCTTTATTGCTGAACAATTCTGTTAATCATTGTGTTTTTGTGTTTACCATTGCACCATCTAATCATTTATCAAATGAAAAAGTAAAAACAAAGAAGAGAATACTATGTTCATTTACTGCTCCACAACAGAATTTATTTGACAGAATCCTAGTATTTAGGTCTTCGACTCTTCAAATAGGCAACTCTAAGCCAAAAAAGGCATTTACTTGCATCTAAATGGACATGATAGAAAAGTCGAGAATAGGGTTGAAAAGACAATATTTTTATCATATGGTGTTATTGAACCCGATTAACCAGGAATACGAGCCATAATAATATAATAACACTGACCCAAGCCAGATATTACACTTTGAGATTCACTAGGGAACATTCTTCCTTTAATAATTGTTGAAGATATGAAAAAAATAATCTCTATGATATTTTTCCAATAGTATAGGATTATTTTCCTTAATAGTTGATTATATAATTATTATGCAATCTTTCCTTTTAGAGTTATTTATAGCCTTATAAATATGGTTTTTTACTTTGTAATAGAAACAAGTTTATTATATACAATTTATAATATTCTTTACATGGTATCAGAGTAGTTTCGACCCTAAACAAATTAACCTTTGAATTTCGTTTCCGACGAGCGGCCTTGAGCCGCTCGTCCGGCTACCAATGTTTTTCTTTTTTTTTATTGGGCTGTTGGAGTAATTTGGTCAATTATTTAATTGGTTTGATTTTACTGTGGAATATATGGGAGTTGGGTATTTTCTCCTCTTAAGCTTGTTTGGAGTTTCTTCAACTTTTGATAATCTGGAATTTGGACCTGTTTATTTGAAATTTGGTTTAGTACATGTCCAATTTATCTGGAATTCGGTCCAGTTCATTTGGAATTTGGTTTAGTATATGTCCAGTTTATCTGGAATTTGGTCTAGTTCATTTGGAATTTGGTTTAGTATATGTTCAGTTCATCAGGAATTTGATTTGTTGTTGGTTCGGTGTATCCGAAATTTGAAATTTGCATCCAATTTATTTGGCATTTGTCGAACTGGAATTTGAAATTTGCATCCAATTAATTTGGATATGAAATTTGCATCTCTTTGGTTTAGTAGTGGATGCGTTAGTTACTTGCAGATATGAGCGTTCATTCTTCCTCTCCAACCCATATTGAGATTAACTATCATCTGATTTCTCTTTCAAGTCTTGGTGATAGTTTGGTTAGATTGGTGGATGATGATTTTTCATTATCATCAACTTTGAGTTATTTGTTCGACTTGATTGACATACAAGCAATTTTGAAGATTTGATTGGAACAATTTATCTTTCAAACTCAATTTTATTGCTGCTACACCATATTGAGTTTGAGGGAAGGTGTTGAAGATATGGAAAGAATAATCTCTATGATATTTTTCCAATAGTGTAAGATTATTTTCCTTAATAGTTGATTGTATAATTATTATGCAATATTTCATTTTAGAGTTATTTATAACCCTATAAATATGGTCAATAATCCATAATTTGAATCTTGGTGACCTAACATGAGAATCCGATATTTCATTTCTTGATTAACACGGACAACAACTATTCAACTGAAAATATTGCCTGATCTGTAAATCTTCGACCAGAGTTAAACAGGCGTTAAAAGGTCGTTTTTCCAATCAGGAAAATGGATGGGGTAAAACAATAAGAGATGATTTTTCTTGATGTGAAAGTGCATTATTACCTCTTCACAGGAGCAATTTTCACAGTTTTGAGGTTTTCTCTGTTTGCATTAGCACTTGCTCCTCTTCTCCGCCTGTTTAATGAAATGAAAGTGCGGCGATTAATATAAGTATGATAATATTAACTATCTCGTCACATCTAAGATGGCCATAAGGGGATTTATAGAGAACAAAAAACTTGAACCATGGACAAATTTAACTCAACATCCTCTTATACAAGAGAAATCGAGGCCAAACTTTGTCATGTTTATACAGAAGTACAAATCTGATAGACAAAGTTAACGGATACAGAAAGAAAGAAAGGTGATACCTCTCGAAGTAAGGGACCAGCATTGTCTGCTTACTTGACTTGCTATAGTTCTTCAACAAATGCAATTCATCAATAACTGATAGTATATCTTTAAATTTAATTCCAGTACCATTAAGCGATAGTTCGCCACCCACGACTAAATCCCCCACAAAGTCCACCTTAGGTTTCTTGAAGTAAAGTTCCTGGGTTGGATATATTAGCGACTGCTGAGGCTCATCGTCACTAAAGAACCATCTAGAATAAGCAGCAAATGTTTGTTGAGGCAAATCTGTGATTGGTGGTTGAGGACCCCACAAATCATAGAGCATTGATAAATCTAGTAAACTGCTTTCTATTTCAGTCGATGCAGATGCAAGTAACTTCATGATCCTCTCCCGCCTTATGCATTGTTCAGCAATCCCAATGCTAAACAGTATTGTGTTGGTAGTAGTGTCTGTTAGTCAAAATAAAGAACAAGGATTACGTCAATATCATGCAATTCCAAAGATTGCAAAGAGCAAAAAGAATATGTGGAAATGGTAATTATTATTTAACGGAGCAATAGTTTCAGTGATCTGATTCACCTCAGGTATGTTGTAGAATAACTAAGCATAACGAAATAGAAGGACAATAAAATAGCTAAAGCATATCTTCATGTTGTTGATTTATTTTTGTCAATATTAGTGAATATGCAAAAACAAAAAATTATGTACTGTCACTAAGGAGAAAAAGGAATTTGCACAAAGGACAGAAATTGGTGAGATATGGACCTTGAACATCAATTAGTACAGGCCTTTTATCTGATGAGTTCTTGACAAATTGGTTATGCTGCAACACCCCATTTGTGGGTTTCCACTCCACTTTCTGGTGCAGATTTAGATCAAAGGAGCCCAACTTTGCCAAATCTCGGTTTGACCCGTGAAAGGGGAGAATATGTTGATAGTCCTGAAATGTACGAAGATAAGAGATGTCTGTAAGGAGTTGGGGCATCAAAGGGAGCATAAAAAATACTAACAAATTGCTCAATATTGATGTGGGTGTGCATCGAAGGCAGATATACAAGAACAAAGATATCAAATTTTACGCACAGTGGACCACTAATAACCTCATTGATCATGGAGGATGGGTAATTGGAACAAATAGACTAAAGTTCGGATCCAAACACCCAAAAAAAAAAAAAAATAGACCCAACTAAAGCCCGTGTAGACGTCCCGTCTGCCTGAACTAAGCTTTGGGCTGCCCCAATTTTTCCAAAAACCCAAAAAAAAAAAAAAAACTCTTGATGGACGGCTAATATTATACTTAAAGCTGAAATACCATCATAGTATCTATAGTGAGATCAACCTTCATACTCAAGCAAATAATATTACAAGACACCCAAATTAAAATGATCAAGTTGCATACGAGCTAAGAAACAAAGAGACGGGCAAGTTAACTAAGAAATATGTGCCTAATATATTGATTGATAAATGCTTCATAACAATTCTAATTATATCAGAAAACAGGGAAATGATTAAACCATTACATATCACAGTAGTTTTTGCATTGCAGCCACAGTCATAATACTACATATAATGAAATACGTTCTTAAAACTTAAAATATAACTTCTTAAATTCAAACTCCAAGCATAGTATAACAAAAATTTTAGGCTTGACTATTTTTCGATGTTCAAGAATCCAAACCCCACCACAAAGGCAGTAAAATATATTAACATCCAAGACAAACAGTAAGCAAAGAACCCAATTGTATTTACAATTGATCCCCTTAATCCAGACAGGTAAAATCCAAGAACCTCAATTGTAAAATAGATTATCTGAATCAACTCAATTGAATCATCAAAAAACCCAATTGGATTTACAACAAATCTGACCAACCAGATAATTTAACCTATCAAAGGAAATTATTTTTACCTTAGAAACCTTGGTAATAGACTGTTCAGGGTAGATGACAAGCCCAGGAAGAGGAAGGTAGCTATTTGAAGTCATCAAACAAAGCTCCGCCATCTATTTCGTTGTCAAGAGAAACCCAGTTTTAGAAACCACTTTTAGTTTCAGATAACATATCTCTCTAGGCTATTTCCCTTTCTTAAGGGTCACATCGTAATCAGAATTTAATCTGAATTATCTTCAATTGCGCCGCAAAACCAAGGCCCTGCTTAATCTGGAAATTGTTACGAAAAAGGGAGATAATTATGTGGTGCAAGATTCAAAAGGCTTTCGTGTGGCAACCTAGGGAATCCAGGTCGTGATTCTTAATGAAGACAAAAAGTTTTTGACTTGTACTACGTTTGGATGATTCTCGAATTTGGCAGCTTAACGGAGGGTTAAATGCAGACGGCGTCTTTAATTTTTATTTCTTTTTTCTTATTATACTAGGTTTAAGCAACGTGCAATGCACGTTTGTTTAGTTTATATATAATTTTTTTGGTTAAGAAATAAATTTTTATTAATAAAGATGTAATTTTTTTGGTTAATTAAATAACTAATGATGTAATGTTTATGTAATTGATAAATAATTGAACATTGTGATATATTAAAAAAAGAGCATTAATAGAATTTATAGCATGGTCTTATAAATAAACATCGCTCATAGTTTTATGAAGGCTGTTTGAGATAATTTTGATTCTAAGATAACGATTCA